GCTTGTATTTTCTATTGGTAAGTTTCGGATGGAGTCTGGTAGATGTGTGTATATGTTTAAATGTGCTCTAATGGAGCTATGGTCGGATAAGTGTAAAGTAAGTCGTCTGGATAGGCATGTATTAGTGTGACCGATGTAATCATTTATGTTTGATTTGATCCTCTCCCCATCTATATATATATATATATATATATATATATATATATAGAGAGAGAGAGAGAGAGAGAGAGAGCGTATGTAAATATAAAATTCTAAAAGTGGGCACTGACCATTGACAATCTGTTTCATGCTGGAACGCCATTTTTACCCCTTTTGTGTTGTGCTTTGTCGCGACTATTTATATATGCTGGTCACCTTACGCTTATTGGACAAGAGGTAACTGTTATATCTCTAATTATTTTAGAAGCTTTTGTGTAGAAATAATTGCAAGTTCGAATGCGTTTATTTCTAGGTATTTATAGTGTAGTTTGTTAACCATACAGACACTTTCTTTCCCACCATCAGCATGGTTCATCCTTGATTGATGGAGAGCGAGGCACTGCGCCTTCGTGGCCTCACGTTTACAAATGACTTGAAGCGAAACGCCTACATCGAATCAATGGCTGCATCTACTGCAAGGAAAGTTGGGTCACTGTCTCATTCCAGAAAGTTTTTTTTTTCTCGCCAGAGTCCATCTTGCACATTTACAAATCTACCATTCATCCATGCATTGAATACTGTTGCCATATCGGGTCTGGTGCTCCTGCTATTCATCTCGGGGTTCTTGACAAAATCCAAAGAAGGATCTGCAATATAATCGATCATGACATGGCATCTCGACTTCAGTCACTTTCTTATCACTTTGAACTCACAACAACTTTGTCGGTCAAGTCCACTGGATCCAACTTATGCTTTTAACCACTGGGCCATGTGTCCTTGAAGATTTTTTTCCCCAAAGAATAAAAAAAAAATTGAGATCAATGCCTGGCTACTGCAGTGGTGAACAAAAAAAAAACTTGGAGGGTTGAGTTAAAGGAAGATAACTGAGACACCCGGAAGAGGCGTGGCACGTGAAACTAGAACAATCTACCCGGTGAACGAAATAAATGGGTTCAGTTTGAAATTCTAATCGCCTGAAGAAGGCCGGAGCGTGCAACGACCGAAACGTTGTGAATATGGCAGGAAAGATGAGGACAACAGACTGAATAATGTAAATAACCTAAATAAGAATATGCTTGTGAGTCTGTATATGTGCGCGCGCGTAACAAGCGTGTGTGTGTGTGTGTGTGTGTGAGTGTGCGTGCGTGCGTGTGTGTGTGCGTGCTTGTGTGTTCGTGCGTACGTGTGTGTGTGTAACAAGCGTGTGTGTGTGTAACAAGCGTGTGCGTGTGTGTGTGTGTGTGTAACAAGCGTGTGTGTGTGTGTGTGTGCGTGATAAGTGTGTGGTGGGGGGAGACTACAAAAATCAAGAAAGAAATCCATGAAAATAAACTTTTCCTAGTGTGGGTGGGACACTTTTTACGGACGTACGACTACATCTAAAGGCCAGAGCTAAAAAAAGCTGTAAAAGAGAGAGAAATGCACGCCTTTTTATAGACTTAAAGAGCGCCCCCTAGTGGCAGTCTTTTGACAAAGTCAAGTGGGATAACCCACACTTTCACGCTGGAACAGTCTTCCATTTACCTCCTTGGCAAATCGACGATGGCATTATTAGAATCCGTTTGTTGTGGCTGAAACACTAACCATGCGTTGTATTATAGTTATATCTCTTGCTTCCGGCGGTTCATTTGTGTACTTGTAAAATCATCAATGTCACAGCATGCACAAACAGGCCTCCAAATAAGCCGAAGCAGGTAATTAACTCGACAAATGACGTCTTTAACGAGTTGCACTTCGCGTAATTAAACACGTCGTTGACATGTTTCCGAGAAAAAAGAATGTTTATTCATTGATTAATGCAAGGATTTTTCCACGTGCTCTCCAATCAAACGATTCCATTCTGGAGTTAATTTGAATATTTATTGTGAATGTCTCTGCAGCGTTGTTTTCATTGGCCGAAGATTTGAAAACAACGATTTATTAAATTTATGAAAATGAAATAGCGGCTCCAGAAAGCACTTGTCATCGTCGATTTCTCTTTCTTTCCTGCTTTTTTTTCTTTTCCTTCTTTCTTTCTTGTTTTCTTTCTTTCTTTCTTTCTTGCTTGCTTTCTTTTTCTTTCGTTATTTCTTTCGCTTTTTCTTTCTTTCTCTGAACTGATGCATATGCACAAACACACACACACACACACACACATATAATTTATTTGTATTTTTCTTATTTTTTTCATACATTCAAATTACAATTGTAGATAAAAATAATGGCTTAAAATACTCGAAGTATTTGTATTTGAAGATCAAATCAGAAGAATGTTATCAATACATACATATATATATATATATATCGCGAATATGAAAGGATTATATATTCGCGAATATGAAAGGGGTATGATAAAAATAAGCAGACATTTTTGTCATTTATTCAATCATATATATATATATATATATATATATATATATATATGTGTGTGTATTTAGGCAGCATCTTTTCATTCATACACGTTTCATTAAATAATATAGACAAGTGTTGTCTATTTATTTTATGTAAATTTTTTTCGTAACGTATGATAAGTTCAACGATAATGTTATTAAATTTATCAGACGTTACGAAAAAATTACATAAAATAAATAGACACCACTTGTCTATATTATTTAATTAAATATATATATATATATATATATATATATGATTGAATAAATGACAAACATGTCTGCTTATTTTTATCATAATCCTTTCATATTCGCGAATATTTTCCGTATATTAAAATTGCCTAATTCAGTTGTAATATTGAAAAATATTCGTGAATATGAAAGGATTATGATAAAAGTAAGCAGACATAATGTTTGTAATTTATTCAATCAGACATGCCTAAAAGAGAATTTGCTGCATAAATACGCACACACACACACACACACACACACACACACACACATATATATATATATATATATATATATATATATATATATATATATATATATGCATGAATATAAATATAAATAAATGATATTTCAAATTATTTATGAAACTTGTCATGAAAACCCCAAATCATAACATATTTGGTTGGACGAGTTTCACTGACGAGTCGATCCTGTGCACTCGTTGGAGTATATTTGTATGACATGACCCCAAATATATATATATATATATATATATATATATATATATATATATATATATATATATATATCTTACTGGAAGATTACTTTGTTGATAATGAAAAAGACAGTCGGACAATCATCTCAATCGCTCTTTTTTATATATATATATATATATATATATATATATATATATATATATATATATACTTTGAAACGAGTATTTATAAACAGAAGTAAAGGCATCGTTGATTTTACAAATTTTGTAAATTTAACAACGATCATTAATATAGATCAGGCTAAGATTGCGTTCGCGTTCGAACCTTTGGGAGTTGACCTGAATATCCACTTCATATATATATATATATATATTGTAGTATAAATTTTCATAATGTTGCAATAGAGGCTCTTAAATATTTGTTCTTTTTACTTATGTCATTTGTTAAAAAGCAGATATGTCCTCAAAATCAAATGTAGATGAACAAATCCATAATCCAATTTGCAAAATAGTAAAAGAGTAACGATCAGTCAGGTGCATGAGTAAAAAAATAGCTGCATCGAAATCAAAAACTGAAGCCATTGAAACGGAGCTGCAATGGAGAAAGTAAATATTTAATGCATACAGCATAAGTTGAGACATTCTCGATGCTAAAGTGGTTGATAATGGGTCGCCTGTCGATCGATACGGATCCTAGAGTAAGCTCGACCTCCCCCTTTTTCGCTCTCTCTCTCTCTTCCCCCCTCTCTCTCTATCCCTCTTATCTCTCTCACCCTCTCTCTCTCTCCCTGTCGTCATTTCCCTCTCTCTCTTCCTTTCGCCATTTCCCTCTCTCCCTCTCTCTCTCTCCCTCTCTCTCCCTCTCTCCCCCTCCCTCTCTCCACTCCCTTTCTTTCTCTTTCTCCCTCCCTCTCTCACTCTCCTTCTCTCTCTCTCTCAAATTTGTTTTCGAGGTACATGACCCTTTTCGCTATAGCTCAATTTGTAGAAATATTCCCAAAATTCCAAATCTGCGCTTCCTGTTTCTCAATCCGGAAACATTGCTATAGAACAAAAATGCAAATATCATTTTTTTTTAATCATTTCACCCCAAACAAGGCGATAATGCCACTAAGACGCAGAGGGTTAGGGTATGTTGATGGAAAAAGAATAAGAAGATTTGAGTGATGAGAAGTCAAGAAAGGACAAATAGAAACAAGATTTTACTTCGTTTTTTTTTCTTCCTTAAATGCCCATCAGTATTAATATTGTCAAGACATCCTCCCACAAATGGATTTTCTCATTACTACAAATGTTTAATACGCCTTTGTTCCCTTTTCTTGCGTTTATTAACATATTAGCTTTATTCATGACACAAAACCTTACGTCTGAGTTTGTGTTTTTAAAGATAGCTTTTAACCCAAACCCTAACCCTAACCTAAAGGTTCAGTATTGTCACGGATGCTTGACATATATTTTTTCGATGAGGTGCTTTGTCATTCAAGTAATATGGCTCCTTTGGTCAGTGGACCAAAGCACAAGGCTTATTTCCACCCAAGGCTAAAGGCGGGATTACAAGGACAAATAGCAGAGGTGTGATTAGAAAGGAATTTTCACTTGGCAATGGGGGCGATTTGTTCTAAAGGAAATATTAAGCTTTAGATAAAAAAAGAGAGAGAGACTTGAATATCGAAATAAATAAAGAACAGATATAAAGAAAAGATATATATTAATACTTTGAGATGGATAGATAGATATAAAGATTGGCACAGATAGCTCGATATAAAGAGATTGGCATGGATAGCTAGCTAGCTAGATAGATAGATATAAATGATTGGCACAGATAGCTAGCTAGCTAGCACAGATAGCTTGATATAAAGAGATTTGCATAGATAGATAGATAGATAGATAGATAGATAGATAGATAGATAGATCGATAGATAGATAGATAGATTGGCTCGATATAAAGATTGGCACAGATAGCTCGATATAAAGAGATTTGCATAGATAGATAGATAGATAGATAGATAGATAGATAGATATTGTAAAAAATGTAACAGATAGATAGATAGATAGATAGATAGATAGATAGATAGATAGATAGATAGATAGATAGATAGATAAAGTTCTGGACAGAATTATTCGCCCACTTCCATAATTACAAATAAAACTGTAATATAATTTTCATAGAAACTTAATTTTTTTATTTTAATGTCAAACAATAATACAAAAAACACTGAAAAATATTTAACATAGGACAAAATTATTGGCCCTCTTGCCTCAATAATACTCCATTGTGTAACCTTTATTCTTGATTATTGCCTTGCATTTTTTATAGTTCCTTACAAGATCATTACACCCACTAATATGTATTTTGCTCCATTCTTTCTTGGCATCTAGTTTCTAGTTCCTCTAAATTTGAAGGACTTCTTTCTCATACTTTTTCTTCAAATATGCTCATAATTTTCAAAGGTGTTTAAGTCAGGACTTTGTGTGACGTACGCCAATGGATTAATTTTGCTGTCATCTAATTATTTTCTCGTGTTTCGGTTCATTGTCACGTGGGAACGTACAGTGACACTCCAAATACAGTTTTCGTGCACTTTGTTTTATATTATATTGAAGAATAGGCAAACACTGCTCTTTATCCATGATACCATGCACTAGTTCTCCTGGTTCAGAAGCAGTATAACATCCCCAGAGCAATATCCTTCGACCACCATGCTTAATTGTAGGTGGGGAAGATTTCTTGGGGTTTGTGTGCTTCATTCGCTTACCTCCATACATAACAGGAGTTCATGTGACCAAATAATTCTAGTTTGGTTTCATCTGACCATAAAAAAAGTCCCAATATTTACTCCTATATTTTAGATGGCTTCTAGCATAGGCTAATCTGCATTTTAGGTGACTAGCCTTAATCGAAGACCCACGCGATGAAAGCATCTAGTGACTATCTTCGTCGATACATTCAAACTTGATGTCTTTACATCATTGACAATGTCCTTTGTCGTTAAGTGAAGATTCTTCGAGACATTTCTAAGAATTTCCCTTTCTATTCTTTCAGAAATTAACCGTTTTCTGTCAGTCCTTAATTTATTCCTGATATGTCCCGGAAAGGGATATATTTGTTCGAAGTAGCAAAGTGGTTTTTGGACTACTCTAACCGAGTAGGACAATTTAGCAGGTAACCGTAATGGACTGGTCCTCGTCGTAGTGGTAGGCAATAGGCGTACCAATAGATGTCCTGTACCTCCAAATCAGTCTGTATTTATGGCTGACACCAGCCAATCATATTACTGTGAGGAGGAACCCAGGTGTATGCATATTCATTACATCAATTCCCAATGCAATAAGTCTCGTTATACTTGATAATACTACGAATTGTTCATTTAGGAATATTTAAACGCTTGGAAAGTGTTGTATATACATTACCTTGTTTGTACGCACCAAATATTTTCAATCGGAACTTCTTGTCAAGTTCCGCCATCTTCGCCATGGTTGGACAACGAATGAGTTATCGCGGTACGTGGCACTCACATATTGTGTTCTTCGTTACATTTTAGAATGTCATAGAATCAGGTCAATATTATTTTATTTTCAAAGGATATTTGTATTAAATGTTAAAAATTAAAAAATCAAAAAACATAGCGCAATAGTATTTCATAATTTTCATAGGCAGGGTCAAATAATTTTCTACTGCACCAATTTTAAGAAAAATCTATAACTGGGAATATAATAGATCGAAATTTCTAAAAAAAATTCACGAATTATTCAAAACTAAATACGGAATCTATTATTTATGGTAAATTCAGTAAATATTTACAAATATTCGATATATATATATATATATATATATATATATATATATATATATATATATATATGTGTGTGTGTGTGTGTGTGTATATATATATATATATATATATATATATATATATATATATATATATATATATATAATGGACTCTCCCGTCGGTTTCGACGTATGAGGATCTGACATCTTAGTTGATTCAGTAATTAAATTTTGTGCGATAATCTTAAGTGGCACTTAAGTGATTTACAAAGGAGGCCACATATGGAGCAATAGTGAGGACTGTGAGATGAGATCGATTGTCAGATTGGCTGACCTTTTAAATCTTGCTCTCGCTTCTTGAAGATGATTCAGACAAGCAGAATGAAAACTACTGAGTCCACTAAAACACGTTGATCTCCATTCAACCCGACCCAAGGCTAAGCGCTCAAGGGTGTTATGTGGTTTATTGACAGCTGACAAGTTGCTTTTCAGCTTGTCTTTGTATCTTAGCCATGGGCGTCTTACATTCCTGTAGCTCTGATCTAACTGGCTGTACATTAGGATCTTGGGTATCCAGTTATCGGACATTCTCAAGACATGACCAGTCCACCGTAACTGAGACTGTATGAGAAAAGTCTCGATTCCTCCAATATTACACCTGTTAAACAGGTCTTCGTTAGATGTCCTATCTTGAATGTTAATTCCACAGATTGCACGCAGACAGCTTTTATGGAAAACATTCAGCTGGCGTATATGGTACCTGTATCGAGTCCACGATTCTGAGTCGTACAAAACGATGGCAAGTAGAACGGCCCTGTAAACCCAAGTTTTCTTATCCAGTCGAATACCACGCTCATTCCACAAGCGATGGCGAAGTTTGCCGAAAGCACTGGTATATATATATATATATATATATATATATATATATATATATATATATATGCTACGAATTATCCATTTCAAGGTTTGGAATGTGTTGTATATCCATCACCTTATTTGTACGCATCAACGATATTCAATGGAAGCTCCTTGTCAAGTTCAGCCGTCTTCGTCATAGTTGCAGAACGAATGAGTTATCGTGGTACGTGGCACTCACATATTGTCTTCTTCATTACCATTGAGAAAGTTACAGAGTCAGGTCAATATTAATTCATTTTCAAAGGGTGTCTGTATTAAATGTCAAATTAAGAAAATAAAACATTACAGTTGCCATAGACAAATATTATTTCTTAATTTCCATAAGGCGGAGGCAAATAATTTTGAACTGCACCAATTTTTAGAAAAATCTACCATAAATATAACAGGTCGAAATTAAATACGGAATCAACTATTTGTGGTAAATTCAGTAAGTACTTACACATATTCACAGTGGGGATTGCGAATAATTCTGTCCACAACTATTGATAGATAGATAATGAACAGGCTGGGGAAGATAGATAGATAGATAGATAGATAGATAGATAGATAGATAGATAGTGAGCAGATAGATAGATAGATAGATAGATAGATAGATAGATTTTATTGAGCAGATTGAGATAGATAGATAATTTCTTATTAGATTAGATAGAATGATGTTTATAGTAATAGATAGATAGAATTTATTGATTTAATTATTCTAATTAGATAATAATTATCTAATAATTTCTTAGATACTATTTTTGATGTAGCCTGGACTAGAATGATGTTTATATAGATAATAGAGAGAGAGAGAGAGAACAAAAATACAGATAGAAATTGATAAGATAGATAGATAGATAATGAGATAGATAGATAGATAGATAGATAGAGAGAGAGAGAGAGAGAACAAACTACTACTTCTACATGTGATAGATAGATAGATAGATAGATAGATAGATAGATAGATAGATAGAGTTTATTGATTTAATTATTCTAGATAGATAGATAGATAGATAGATAGATAGATAGATAGATAGATAGATAGATAGATAGATATCAGTCTGGACAAGATAGGTAGATAGATAGATAGAGAGAGTGAGAGAGAGACAGACAGACAGACAGACAGACAGACAGCAAACTATTACTTCTACATGTGATAGATAGATAGATATGAATCGGCTTTGATAGATAGATAGATAGATAGATAGATAGATAGATAGAGTTTATTGATTTAATTATTCTAGATAGATAGATAGATAGATAGATAGATATTAGCCTGGACAAGATAGATAGATAGATAGATAGAGAGAGAGAGAGACAGACAGACAGACAGACAGACAGACAGCAAACTATTACTTCTACATGTGATAGATAGATAGATAGATATGAATCAGCTTTGATAGATAGATAGATAGATAGATAGATAGATAGATAGATAGATAGATAGATAGATAGATCGTTTGTATCATTTCTTCCCAAGCAAGTCGGTAATGCCACGAGTATGCAAGGTGTTAAAAATCATGAAAGCGAATGAAACAACTTCAGTGGGAAATGAGGAAAAAGACAATAAAGGAAGAGGGTTTAGGAAGACAGAAGATGACGATTGACGTTACAATCAAATTTTTGAGGGGTTTTTAGTTAGCAGGGAGGTTAGATATTGGATGGGAGTTCCACAGACGCGAAATTTGACAAAGGAAACTATTAGAATAGAACCAACGGTTGCATCTAGCTAGTTAAATAGTAAAAAGGTGAGAACTAGTTGCCAGTCAGTTAGTTTTTATACTTATGGAATCAAGGGACTAAGGGGAAAAGCTCAACACAACAATTGGCATTAAAATATTTATAGAATAGGTTACACTTTAGATATGCACAGACGTAAAGTGATAATTAGCAGACATTCATAGATAGATAGATAGGTGAAAAGTGGATAATAGATAGATAAAAAGATATATAGATAGATAGATAGATAGATAGATAGATATGCACAGACTAAATAAATCGATAGATATGCACAGACTAAATAAATCGATAAATATTAGCAGAGATAGATAGAAATGCACAGACTAAATAAAGATAGATATAGATAGATAGATAGATAAAAGATAGATAGATAGATAGATAGATAATAGATAGATAGATAGATATCTTAAGACTAAATAAATAAATAGATAAAAAGATATATAGATATGAGAAATATACAGATAAAAAGATATATAGATATGAGATAGATAGATAGATAGATAGATAGATAGATAGATAGATAGATATGCACAGACTAAATAAATCGATAAATATTAGCAGACTGAGATAGATAGATAGATAGATAGATAGATAGATAGATAGATACAGATAAAAAGATAGATAATGAGCAGATAGATAATATAGACAGATAAAAGATATATCGATAGATATGAGAAGACATAGATAGATAGATAGATAGATAGATAGATAGCAGACTAATATAGATAAAAGATATATAGACAGACATAGATAAATAAATCGATAAATATTAGCAGACTGAGATAGATAGATAGATAGATAGATAGATAGATAATGAGCAGACTAATATACAGATAAAAAGATATATAGATATGAGAAGACATAGATAGATAGATAGATAGATAGATAGATAGATAGATAGATAGATATGAGAAGACTGAGACAGATAGATAAAGAGAGAGAGCGAGAGAGGAAAGGAGCAGATTTTTAATTCCCAGTCGCTATCACATACACCACCCACACAACCACAAAAATGGAAGGAAAAACAGATTCATGCCTTTTTTTCCAAGAGCATTTGTGCTAAATCGAACGCAATGAAGCGGTTAGTATTCGAACTTGATTCGCAAGTCTCATTTTCCGCGCCAATAATTGTCGCCCTAGGTGAACATCCCTCTTGTAACTTTAAGGCGACAAATACTTCCTGAGTCCTATAAATATACATTAAATGAAAATAGGGCAACTCGACGTGACGCTTAGTACCGCAAGCGACGCGTAGCTTGACGACTGAATGAACTTCGGGTGTGGACACTCTAATGATCATTATTGCGCTAATATTGCTCCACAGTGCGATGTTCAGTCTATGGGCTCACTTAGCAAAAGACAACAAGTTTTGGATATCTAATGATAATTAGATTCATTACAATTATAATGAACCACGTGAACCTCTTTGAAGAAGACGGAGATACAGAAGATATTTACTAGCTTAGTTGCATCTGGTTCGAGGTTACATCTTCCAGACTTACATTATGGATCAAACTCACGTCACTAATAACGGAATACGATACTAGCTTGCATTAGTAAATACCAGACACTTCAAATACCTCGTTGTATGGGTGAGTTACAATAAATTTAGTATAGGAGAAAAAGCATTTGAACATCGAATGAGCCGCGGTAAGGGTAGTTTCACACAATACCGTAAGTTGCTACAAAACCAAAACATCAACCTGAAAACTCGAGTCATATTCTTAAATTCGTCCTCGGTATGAGGATAAACTACATCCGCGTCCAGGGTACGACGATACACTACATCCGCGTCCTGGGTATGACGATAAACTACATCCACGTTCTGGGTATGATGATAAACTACGTCTGCGTTCTGGGTATGACGATAAACTACATCCGCGTCCTGGGTATGACGATACACTACATCCGCGTCCTGGGTATGACGATAAATTGCATCCGCGTCCTGGGTAAGACGATAAACTGCATCCGCGTCCTGGGTATGACGATAAACTACATCCGCGTCCTGGGTACGACGATACACTACATCCGCGTCCTGGGTAAGACGATAAACTACATCCGCGTCCTGGGTACGACGATACACTACATCTGCGTCCAGGGTAAGACAATAAACTACGTCCAACAGCAAGGCCTCTGATCAGGAGGTTTTGAGGAGTGTGGAACCACCTCTTAATTGCTGGTGTTCCCAGGTCCAATCTGCACGATGAAAAGGAAAAAATATGCTTTAATACCAGAAATACTTTGTAAAAAATATTATTATCAGCAATACATTTTTAAAAAAAATATATTACCAGAATTTTTTTTTGACGAAAAATAATTACCCTTAAGTACATTTTTGAAAAAAAAAATATTACCAGCATTAAAAATTTTGTCGGCATTAAATAACCCACTGAGTTTGATATGCCGTAAAACAAAGCAAAGCAAACCGATATATATTGACATAGATAGATAGATAGATAGATAGATAGATAGATAGATAGATAGATAGATAGATAAAAAATATTGCCAGCAATAAAAATTTTGTCAGCATTAAATAACCCATTGAGTTTGATATGCTGTAAAATAAACCAAGCCAAAAATCATGTTCTTAAATAGTCTTATAAGATCGATACTTTAATATGGATGTCATGCAGAGAGCCAGGCTCGATCAGAAATATCTAAACTGCGACCTGTATACGACAGCTTTCTCAGTTAAATGACTAAAATGGCTTTGAGCGAATGTAACCTGTAGGTCTCTGCGAGGATATTTCTTCTTCAAACCTTGTGGACTGGCGCTACAGAATCATAATCAAACATCTGTATCAGAGAGCAGAAACGATATCACTTGAGGACTTTCAACAGCGGAAACAACTAAAATGGATAGCAAATGCAACTCGAAGAGAACATAATGACATAATCAAGATGTTGACTTTCAATACTACTTCAAACTAAAAGTCAGAATAGAAATCCCCATTGATACTAGAAAGAACGATAACATCTACTGGACATGAGATTTGTTTTGTTCACCCCAAGCAACCTGGAGAGCCACTAAGACGTAGGGGGTTACAGGGGGGGTGAAAGTGAAAGAATAGACTGGGCACAGAGGGACTGAAGAAAGGATATAAGTTTGAACGGGGTTCAAGTCAACAAAAGATGGTGGTTGCCGCTGCATTTTCATTTTTGAAGATTGTAGTTAACAGAGAAGCAATTAAGATGAAGGGAGTTCCATGGTCGGGAAGTGTGAGAAAATAAACTGTTGGACTAAAAATGGCGGTTACATTTAACTAATTCAAAAGTAAAAGTCTAGGACCTAGATGTCAATCTAGTAGCACGCTTAAATTCACATAGTCGGGCACCAGGGGAAAATGCTCGTCAGAGCAGTTGCCATGAAAATATTTGTAGAAAAGACAGAGGGAAGTCTGAAAAGTCGAGATGCCAGGTCAGGATCGATTACATTGCAGATCCTTCTTTGGATTTTGTCGAGAACCTCGAGATGAACATCAGGAGCACTAGACCAGATAAGGCAACAGTATTCAAAGCACGGCCGAATGGTAGATTTGTAGATGTGCAAAATGGACTCTGACGTGAAAAACCTTCTGGAGGACCAACTTTCATTTCAATAGATGCAGCTATTGATTCAATGTAGTTGATCAACCTCAAGTCAGTCTTAAACGTGAGGCCAAGAAGGTGCTCTCCATGAGTCTAGCATCAGCCATGCTGATGGCGGGCAGGAAACTTCCTCTATGGTGGTTACATGAGAGATGTTTAGTTTGGGAGGCATTCAAATTTGCAAGCCATTTCCTGTCCCAGTTAACCACTGATTGGGGGTCCTTTTCGAGAACAGCGCCCAGTTTAACTTTGTCAGCACTACCGGTTTTGCTATTGAGACAAGAGTAAATGGCCGTGACGAATGCATATATATATATATATATACTTTGGGAACTGATGACATCAGGAAGATCATTGATGAAGATGGGAAACAGTGTAGAACCCAGGAGAGAGCTTTAGGAAATAACTATTTTTCTGAAAAATTGTTTTAAGAGAAAGTTTTTTAAAACACAAATGAATATCAAATGTTTCCTTATAATGAAACGGTTAATGTCTTCATTACCATTACCTAAACATTACAGCAAGATGGCACATTTTAATTAATTCTAATGTAGAATTCGATTGTTACAAAAATCAATAATTACTTTAAGTGCCGAGTTCGAATTCCACTCGAATACATTACATTCACATACGTGCTAATACTCTTGAGAAAGGTATGAATCCTTTTCTACCCCCACCCCAGCTATGGGTAAATAGCAGGACGGGCCGGGTTCTGTAGCCTTGGATAGCAACTGGTCTACCGCATAAAGAAATGGCAACCTACTGCGGGAAAACATCTGCCTCGTCGAAAGATACACGATCGCATAAGCGTATATCACATGTTACGATACGCTTTAAGCCTACTGGATGACAGAAGAGACGCAAATCTCTCCTCATTAAGAAATATATTAATTGTTTAGCTTAGCTTGATAAATATTCACAAGAATGTTGCGGCTAGCAAGGATCGAACTCAGTACATCGTAATGATTTGTGGAACTGGCCTTGGGAGCATTAAGCGGTGGCATCGTTTTTTGTTTTTTTTATGGATGGCAAATAGTTTCTAGAGGATTGAACGTGATTTATTTCCGTTATTATTTCATCTTTTTTTTGTATTCAGAAATTATTTGCGCGGGAAAGATCGGCAGGCTTATGCAAAAAACGCCAACATTTGACGACCACGATTTGACATTTACCCAATCAACTGTTCAATATTTGACCTCTTTCTGAGTAAGAGGTTGTTGCTCTTGTAGCTTTGATAAAGAGTTATGCAATTTTTACTTATTTTATTGTGTTGTCGAACAAATTATCTCTACAGATATATTATAATCGTTAAATGTCTTTATCATTTTTCTTTCTCCTTAATTTTGATTTGTTTATTCTTTCGTCTTTTTCTTTATTGTATTAATATATATATTATATATATATATATATATATATATATATATATAGTCATCTTCTTCATATTTGTCTTCTTTAATTTCCATTGAACTATTTCCGTTTCTCCTTCATCCTTATATGTATTGTATATATATATATATATATATATATATATATATATATATATATATATATTATATATATATATATATATATATATATATATATATGTGTGTGTGTGTGTGTGTGTGTGTGTGTGTGTGTGTGTGTGTGTGTGTGTGTTTTGGACAATAAAAAATATTAAAACTTAAAATTTTCAGAGACACTGGCTTGCATATAAATATTTTTTTTTTGTTTTATTATTTCGATTAGGTTTCTCGACAACTTTCGGTCAGCATGGTCATCGTCAGGAGAAAAAAAACCCTGCAAAACCTTAATAGCAGTGAACTACAGGAGTAAATGACTTTTTTTAAGAAAATGAAATTTATCTGTAGTTTTCATTTGTTTTTGCCGTTAATTTTGATCAGTCATTGTGTTAGTCAACGGGCTTTTTTCAAAATGTCTTTTGAAGTTGTTCTATATATATATATATATATATATATATATATATATATATATATATATATATACGAGGTCTGATCAAAATGTATTGGGACTGTTGCTGTGTTAACGTAGCTAAAATACGCAAAGTGAAGCAGCTTAGCACATATTGACCTTGAACTCTGTCACGCCTGCGGACTAAATTTTAAAGTTCTCGCTCGCCCCCTCTTAATGCTTAGAATGAAACTGTACAGTGCAGTCGACTCAACACATCACAGAAGTTCCATCAGTGATCATGTCTCGTGCAGCAGTTGTTGGCCAAGGACGACCCCCCCAGATCTGACAGCCACCATATTTCCCAGATTTCGACTCCCTTCCTCTCCAAAAGTCAAATCTCACTTTCAAGATTTCAAGACACCGAGGAAATCCAAGAGAATGCGACGAGGCAGCTTCTCTCTATCCCCCCCCAAAAAAGGCGTTCTTAGAAATGTCTGCATCAAGGAAATAATGTGTGTGGATAAAAGGGTCTACCTTAAATTCGGAATTGGTATGTGTCGCTGCTATATTCTGCCATTGAACACATATAACATTCTACTGGCAATGTTTTCACTTCAACCCTGGCTAAAGAGGCTTATGGATGCTACGACTTGCTAAAAAGCAACTCTCATTACGGTTTTTAATTTCTCTCCTAGACTGTTTGCCAATCACAACCTGCCATGGAAATATGACTCTTGAGATTTGTGCAGGTGAACATTATATATATATATATATATATATATATATATATATATATATATATATATATATATATAGGCAGCATATTTTCATTCAAACATGTCGGTTAAATAATTTAGACATATTATGTCTTTTATTTTAGTTTTAATCCTTTCAAGAATTAATTTCTTGATGTTTGTAGAAAATTGATTAAGAAAAATTCGAAAATTTTCTTTCTAATAATTTTTATTTTCCCAAGAGACTATTTTCAGGGATGAAAATATCTGTGGATGTGTATAGAGTAGCTCCGTAAATTCAAAATATTTTTTCACTCTTCGTTTACACAGTTCCAAATTCGAATATTCAAGAAGGGCAACTTTTTGTAATTTTATTTTAATATTTAAAAAATTAACAAGATTTATATATATATATATATATATATATATATATATATATATATATATATATATATCCTTACGTATACACAAAGCTACACGATAAATCTTTAAAATCTTACATAGTCATCACATGTATTGTTCCATGTTATGTCCATGCATAATTTGGATTTCACAAGGCTAAGTCGCCTAAAAATCTGGTGTAGTTTGTGACTTTGAGTCGATGTTTGTGTCTGCATTTGAAGATAATCTCATTGCGGTGGTTTAGCAATTTCTCAGGTCTATTAGATATAATTATGAAGATTTTCTCCTTAATGCAGAGATCGCATCTGTCTATGAAGTTTCTTGGAGTCCGAGTCCTAGATATGATTCTCCATTACAACTGCGGGGTGGAGCCGTTTTCTACAAGATCCCAATAATATATAAACAGTACTGTTTGATGTTTCAGGGATTTGTTGTTGAAGGAATGGCGGTGATTGTTATTATTATTTATATATTTTTAAAATATTAATGTTGAAGTGTCATCATCCGATTGTAGGCATTTTTTGGCTGTCTCGATGTATGTTCTTTTTCTTTTTTTCTCTATCTAATTTCTATATTTTTCTTTCTTTCTTTCTTTTTTTAAGACTATATTTCTTCATACATACATATGTGTATATATATATATATATATAATATTAGTGGTAAATATACACATACATATGCAAAATATATAAATATATATACATAGATGCATACACATACATATATATTTTTTGAATAAAAAAAATTCTAAGAGGATAGAATCCAGGTAGAACTCAATGCCCAGGACAGAGTAAGGATATAATAAAAAGGCTTAAACACTAATATTCCATGGTCATAATTGATTCCATTGGAATCGTAAATACGATCCAATTCATCAGACCTGATGAATTGGATCATATTTACGATTCCAAACTGAATAAATTAT